TATAGATAGATGGATGGATGGATGGATGGATAGATGGATGGATGGATGGATGGATGGATGGATGGATGGATGGATGGATAGATGGATGGATGGATGGATGGATGGATGGAGGGATGGCTAGAGGATAGATGGATGGATGCATGGGTGGGTAGATAGATAGACTAATGGGTGGTGATAGAGGATACACAGATGGGTGGATGGGTTGGTGGATAGTGAGCTGCCCTGCTAGGAGTACCTGGTACGAAGTGGGTGCAAGCAGCTGCCTCCTGTGAGGCGGAGGTCTTGTTTCTTGTGACCGAGGGGCAGTGGGAAGGGGATGTGTGTGGCACGTGCCTGCTCTTGCTCCCACACACACCTCTCTGTGGGGAGTGTCCCTCTCCCCAGCGCCTGCTCTCCCTGAGGAGGCAGACCCGGCGCCTTGCTCCTGTGCGTGACCACGAGCCCAGGCCCTCCAGCCTCGGAGCCCGCCGGAGAACCCCGTCTCAGAACTCACTAGCACATCACCCCATCTGCTCAGCCCCCTTGCAAGGCCTCCCACGGCTCCGCCCCGGAGGGAACCTGCTGGGGCATTCCAGGTGTGGAAGGAAGGGGCACAGGTGCTGCCAGGGCTGCGGCCAGCGCTGGGCAGGGCCCAGGAGGCTGGAGGGCAGAGTGCCCGAGGCTGCGGCGCCGAGCCCACCAGGGGAGTGGATGCCCGCACACAGCCTGGGGCGCACATCTTTCGTTTCCCGGCTCACTCTCCTCCACAGCATCAGTGCTGCTGGACACGGTCAGAGTTGGCAAACTGCTGGTCTTCGGGCTGAATCTGGCCTGCTGACACGCACAGAATCCAAAATAGTTTTCATTAATCGCCTGTTTTTAAGTTTTTAAAAATGAGGATACTTCATATCCAGTCAGGATTTCTGACTCCTGAAAAACCAAACACTCCTGCAGGCCTGGGCCCCACCGCACCGCTTCCCTGGAGGCAGCTGGGGGATGAGGCTTCAGGGCGGCCCCCGCCCCCCTGCCCCGTCCCCGGTGCCCGCATCCCACCTGCAGCCGCTGCACCTGCCTGCCCCCCGGCAGCACTGAGTCTGAGACCCTGGGACTGGCTCCTCTGGGGGCCACTTGGGGGCGGGATGGGAGGGAGTGGCAGCCTCATCTTCACGCCGTGACCCCTTACCTACCCCCCTCCCACAGGTTCACTCAGGCCATGCGGAACCAGCCCCGGATGGACAGCCTGGACACGCCCACGGCCTACCAGGCCGGCCTCGTGCTGCTGGGCGCCGGCAGCGTGCTGGTGCTCTCCAGCTTCTCCGCCCTGGGCTTCACCGGGACCTTCCTGGGTAAGACCATTCAGGGCCCGGGAGGAGCCGGCTGGGGCACCTTCCCCTTCAGGTCTCACCCAGCTGCGTGGCTGCGAGGCCAGGCAGGGTGTTGGCCTGCGAGGGGCGGGCCACCGTCCCTTTCTGCCTGCAGCTCTGGGGACTCCGGGCAGGAAGGCCTCACGACGTCAGTGACTTCCAGCAGCTTGGAAGCCCAGGATGGAAGCCATGGGTTGGCTGCCAGGGCCACGGTGACCTTGGGGGGCGGGGCCAGACCGAGGAGGCAGCTGCTGCTCTCAGGGGAGCCCCTCCCAGCAAGCACGTGGCACCCAGAGCTGCCTGGCACCCTGATGGGCTGGGTCAGAGGTTCTTGGGCCCTCCCCCCTCCCCCAGCCCTGGCCAGCTGGGACTAGGCCTGTGTCGTCCAGGCCTGGGTGGATCTGGTGCCCCTCGCTGTCTGGGCATCTCTGTGCGGTGCTTCGGCCTGGGCCCTGCAGGGTGCAGCAGGGCCCCAGCGCTCAGGGGCGTGTGTTCTCGGCCCACATGGAGCAGCCCTCCTCCTGCCCACAGCAAGGCCTGGCTGGGACTGTGGCCAGGCAGTGCCTCCTGCCTAGGCAGGGAGCTGTAGGGAGCCTGGGACTAGAAGAGGGTGTGCGGCAGGGAGCCCGGGGGAAGGGTCAGGAGCCTGGTCCCGGCAGGTGCTGGTGGGAAGGCGCA